AAATGAATAATTGAACATGGTGATGACCAGGCAGCTGCCATACAAATATTCTCCACTGTCATCCCTCCATGCAGAGCCATGGAGTATGAAAACCCTCTGGTGGAATGTGCTGAGATTCTCTGGAGGATCCAGTCCAGATGAACTGTAAGCTTCAGAAATATCCTCACGCAACCAGTATGAGAGGTGCTGGGTGGATAGAGGATGTCCTGAAGAACTGTCCCAGTAATGCACAAACATACGCTGAAAACGGTGCAGTGCAGCCGTGTGTGCCACGTAACATGAAAAATGCACGAATGGGACAGAGGAAGGTGAGATGTTGCTTCCTCCTCAGAATTACGAGGAAGAGGATAAAATCCATCCAAGGTTATCACTCTTGATCTGAGTGAGCTTGTGATGCTTTTCAGTAAAAATCCTCCACTCTGGAGATGGAGGTGAAGGTGGATGTCTTCAGCTTGCCGGGCCCAGCTGCAGCCTCGTTCCAGTGTAACGTCACAGCTGGACAGCGAGACCAGATGGGGTCAGGGCAACGAGCCGGGGCGGAGCCAACCTTGCCAGATTACGATCAGGGCGGAGGGAGGCGAGGGATGGAAAGTCCCTTGTGTTAACATTCTCCTGGATTAAGCCAGGCAGCTCTAAGAGGAGGGCGCCAATGGCTGGGAGAGGTGTGGTCGCCGACGTGGGAAGATCCGAGGTGGCTGAGCATCCGCTCGGCCGCTCGTCTTCCATCACTATACTCTCCAGGAGGGAGGGGGCAGCTCCGTATCGCCTTTCTCGGAGGAATCATTCGATTTACTGCGTGACTCTGCATCAAAGAAGGCGGTGGGATCGTCCCGCGCATAGCGTCCCGCCACAGAAAAAAAAAACACTCAGCGGAGCTGCTGCCAACAATGCCTTTTTCGAGGGAATCATCCGATTCACCACGAGAAAAGAACACGTTAGAAAAGGCAGTGGCGTTGTCCAGTGAATAGCGGCCCTCCACAGTAAAACATTCAGCGGGGCTGCTGCTAACATCGACTTTTCCTAGAAAATCATTCGATTACCGCAAGGTAAAAGCATTAGAAAAGGCAGTGGCGTCATCAGCGGGTAGCGGCCCGCCACGGAAAAGCATTCCTCGGCGCTTACCTTGAACAAGGCTGCTCGTCTCTGCTTTTCCTCGGGGAGGAAGAGCTCACTGGATGGCAGGAGCTTGGCGTGGCGGAGACCCAGGCATCCTTAGCAAAGGTTGTGCCGGTCAAAGCTTGACAACTTTTATTTCAACGTTTTTTTTGTTGTTTTGCTTTGTTTTTTTTGAATGTCCAGAGGACCAAATTTAACTTTTTTAGACTTGACAACTTTTCCTTCTTCGTTCTTCTGACAGTGCTAGCTAGCTGGCTGAAGAAAAAAATAGGAGCCGATTACCAGGTCTCACCGTAATTTATACGGACCGGGGATGAGGCCCACACAGTAGGTGGGTACGGACTAAGGTTTTCAGTGCTGCGCTGCACGCGTAGGGATAAACCCACTAGCGATCGCCTTAAAGGGCGAAGCCTATACGTAATAGAACTGACCACTTTTCTTCACTATGCTACTGTCTTTACTTACTCTGCTCAACCCGTTTTGTACTTGTAATTTTGTTTTCTATCCTTGACATTGTCTTTCTTCCAATAGGGGGTGAACCTGCATCTGCATCTGGACCCGTCGTTCTTTGTTCTTTTGTCTCTCTTTCCTGTCCTCTCAAACCGAGCCGGTCGAAGCAGGTGGCCACTTATCCTGAGCCTGCTTCTACTGGAGGTTTCTTCCTTTTTAAATGGAGTTTTTCCTTTCCACTGTGACCTTTGTGCTTGCTCAGGATGGGAGACTGTGATGAAATGAAGATTCAATGAGTCTGCTGGCTTTCTTAGATAGAGATCTTTACTAATTGGCTTTTCTATGTATGTGAATGTTCCTGTAAAGTGCCCTGAGACAACTTTGTTTTGAATTTGTGCTATAAAATAAACTGAATTAAATTGATAAAGATTCTTAATAGGCACCTCCCTAGGGAGGTGCTCCAGGCATATCTGACTGGGAAGAGACCCCAGGGAAGAGCTAGGACAAGCTGGAGAGACACTGTCTCTTGTCTTTCCTGGGATCACTTTGGGGTCCACCCAGAAGTGCTGGAAGAAGTGGCTGTGAAAAGGAATGTCTGGGCCTCTCTGCTCAAGCTGCTTCCTCCTGCCCTGATGGATGGATGGATGGATTGATGGATGGATGGATGGATGGATGGATGGATGGATGGATGGATGGATGGATGGATTGATCAGCTCAAGCCTCAGAAGTGTCATAGTGGTTTAGTCAGAATGATAATCTTTTGGTCCATATCTGTATACACCAATAATGAAACCCCATGAACCAGTGGACAGATATTTTTGAATGAAACTCAGAAAATATTCATTGTTTCATTCATTCTGATTTACAACTGAAAACCTTTTCGAGTCAGTTCCATTTTAGATGGCTGCCATTATAGGTGATGATGGCAAACACTAAAATGGCTGACTCAAACAATTTTACAGGTTCTGAACAAATATTTGATGTGGCAGTAGTTGAAAGTTATTCCCAACTTCTAACAAAGTTAAGTCAGGTCCTCTGGACAGAGGACCTGACTTAACTTTGTTAGATTTTTCTACCTGGATTAATGAGCATGAATCAGAATATTTTTCCCAACAGTGCAATCCATTGTGCAATATTGTTGCTTTGCACAATGCCAATCCCCCAAAATTGATATAGGCTCATACAAACACTATCTCTTAGAAATTTACAGAACAGTCACTTTTAATTTACGATTTGTATGATTTTAAAAAGTATTACAAAATTTCTGTCTATTGAAACCCTAGGTTGTCCAGAAGTGTTGCAATTTACTGCTATTTGCATTTGCAAATAACTAAACAATTATGTGTAAATAAATATGTAATGCAAAATAATTGATGGTGTAAAGAAAAAAATGTTTTGGTGAAATTGAAAAAAGAAACATACATGTTACACGGCAGGAAATCACTTGGTTATGGTTGCATTCAGATTAACCATTAAATTGATGGTCCTGCTGAACATAAACTTTATTATTTTTCCCTAAGGGTGTTCAAAGAACTATGTCATTTAACTAACAAATAATGACTAAATTTTGTAAAACATCAGATCTTTGAAATATTTTCCTCAAATATTCCAAAATTTCCAAATATTTACATTCTCAACCAAATTCACAATGTTGTACAAAATAAAAACGATTAAAAAAAAATGCACAAATTAAAACCACCCTAAAATGTTTAAAGTTTGAGTCTGATGGAACACCTCATGAAAGGGTTGATAATAGAGTTTTAGCCCATGCATGAGACTAGCGCACAGTTTTGCTTCAAATGATCAACAACCAAGCCACAGTGCTATATTAAAGCTCTGTGATGGATAAATGGCCAATACACCACCTACTCCCCTACCCAGGACCTCATACGCTGCCATCATGATAATAAACCCCAACTACCTTGCTACATGTTTGTACATGCTCTTGAATTTAGCCCCTCAAAATCCTGAAAACACATGAATAAATGTACCCCAATTAAATTAAATGCTATTCTTGCACCCTCTGGAGTAAATTCAAAAGCTTGGTCTCTCCATACATATAACACTGAATTTCTGTTATAAATATATTAACTGTATACAAAGTTATTGAAGTTGGAACACACACAAATCATGGAAAAAAATAAAAAATGCCAGGTTAAGTACATAAAAAACACTACTGGCTATGAACAGAAAACACTGGCAGAAGTACAGAAGATTTCTGAAACATTCACAAGTAAGGTAAACCCTAAACCAGAAAGACAATCTAAACTAAGAAAAACAACAGAATTGTGATATACAAATATGTGAAACCATATCAGTTTTTAAATTAAAGCAAACACATTAGACACGTTTTACAAACAACACAAGTGTTGAAATGTGTGGAAACAGAACTCTGTTGATAAAAAGAAAGTAAAGTGAGACAGGTGCAAAAATGTGCAAAAACTATTTTGTTAGAAATAGGCCAACATGACATAGAGTTGCAGAGTCACATTTGTAGATCAGTTTCTAATTTCCTTAAAGAAAAATATTAACTAAAATTTAGATTTTAGAATTATAAATTTACAAGAAACTACCCATCCCAACCTCACAACATGACTTATCATCAACTAAAAGCTTCTCTAGTCAGTGAGCTCAACAGTGGGCAAACTCTACAGGTCTTCTGACTTTCACCTGGATGGTGGTCAATTTGAAAATGAGATCAGATTCACTTCCAAGTACTGTTTTCCAAGATACCACAAATAGAGATCGTCATGTTCCAAGCTTTTGGCTGTGTACAAAGTCTAACATGGTAGTTCTGGATGGCAGCAGCCAGTGTTTTCTGTTCTGGGACAAAGACAAAGTATATGGACAGGTACATGCAAAGACATGTTCACATTTGTCCTGACAGGAGTTAAACATGCTATATCAGAAACAATGGCCATGCAGTCTCTGTTTTTTTGCCTTCACTTTTATGCATTCACAATTATAATAAAAGCTAAATACGAGTTAAAAAAAATAAAACAGAGAAAATGTTTAAAAATTTTGAGGATAATCTCATTTGCATTTTTTCTCCAGTATTCTTTGGGAAGCTTGAGCATGTAACAGTCGGGTACAGTCAGTCCACATTCTCATTCTTGCATGAAAGTGCATGACCAGTTTTTTAAATTTTTTTACCTGTAAACATTGTACCTGAGAAGAATACAGAAAAGCTTAACTCAAGTTGATCAGCTGGCAGGAACTTGTTTATATAGCTTAACTGTTCTTTTTCTGTTCAGTTGTATCAGTAGTATGGTTCATTTACAAGGAAAGTGGCTCCCCGTGGCTAGTGAAGCATGACAGAGCACATCTATTTTTGACTGTGTTGCAACATGTAGACCTGACATCCTGATGTTAAACATGAAAAGAAAAACTGTATGATAATATGCTATCTGCAGAGGGAGTTCTGGGGAGCTCACCTGTGCTGTCACACCTGTGGCGCCTCATAGCTTCCTGTTCCAATCTTTGAAACCCTTCAGTAAAGCAACCTGTAGACCATCACAGTCACATACAGGATCATGTGGCCAGCGGCAGCAGAGTGTGCTCTTTTTAAAGAAACTGAAGTACTGTGCCAAAGCATTCACAACCAGCCCCCTACCCTTTAGGCCTTCTCTTTTGCCACTCTAGTGACATATGATATCATGCAAGGCTTGTCTTTTAATGTTTGCAACTACTAGAGTTCACAATGTACACATGGCAGATGAGAGGCAGCGCTCAGATAGAGTGTCATTAAAGAGAGAAAGGAAACTGAGGAGTTGATTGTTGCTGTACACTGTTAAGATATTTTTAATCTAGACTGGTCTTATGATTTTGATCTGCTCATAGACGGGATTATAATGAAATTATGACCCGGTTCTGACTGGGTTAAACTGGGCCAGCAGCTCTGAGAGTCTCCCTGATGATTCAATATCTGCTTGCCACATCACGTAGAAAGGCTTTGAAGCACCGTCTCATATTTTTCCTAACACGTCAGTCCACATAAGATCCCTGAGATCACACTTAGCCACACCCCCTCATACACTGATAGGCTGAGCTCCCCTTCTGCGAAAGGAGGAGTCATAGGACCCCATAAATTAGTGATGACAGGGGACTTCGGGGCTCTTCCGGGTCTGTGTACACGTGACATGGTCCGGAGAGTCCAGCGCTGTAAAACTGTAATCTTCTCCTGCCTTTTCAATATAATTGATAAAACTTAATTGACGTCTCATTGATTTATTTGTTAGCATGAGTTGCTACTTCTGAGGGAGGTTCGAGCCGGGGGTAAGCCCGTGGGCTGGAGGGGGTTTCCAGATCCGGTGGCCCACGGCCAGCTCCCGTCTTTAACAGCTGGTGCCGTGAGGACCTGGACTCCCGTCTGTTGAAGTGGTAGCTCAATTTTTATCAATATTTAGAGGTAATACAGCGGCAGTTGAGTGGAGTCAGAGCAGACTGAACACGCCGGCTATTTATCTTCTCATAAGGTAAGCAGGAAACCTGTTACATCGAATTTCTGCGTGTCCCTTAAGGACTGACAGGCTGCTCTGTTTTCGGTCCGGTGCACGCATTTTAAAAAGCTAAAGGGCAGTGGAACGTTATAGTTTTAATAGTGATTTTGTGAGTGTATTTATCGGACGTAACCATTTATATACGTAACGTTTTTTCACCTGGGCGCACGGGGAGCGGGCCAGAAGCATTAGCAACAACGCTGCTTTGGGATATATTTGTTTAAATGAAACCAGGATTCGGAAGAGTATCAGCACGATGGTAAAAAAGAAACACACACACACCGCTTCTGCTAGAATAATTTGTGTCTTTATTACTCCGCCACAGATTAACAGCGTGAAAGCAAGCAAAGTGCAATCATACTCAGATATACACACACAAGTGTCGATTGTCATCAAATAGCTCTCACCGTGACACAAAGGCTGGAGAGCCGGTTCAGCCTGGGTGGAACCAAAACACACCGACACAGCTGGGCGTCCTCGGCCAGAAAGACCCACAGCAGACTCTAACCTGGTAAACGTGCTTCTCCTACTTATATTCTCCCTCTCTCCCTGCATCACATTGAAAGCATTCCCCAGTGAACAAAAACATGTTTACTTGAAACTCAGAGAAAACGGCAACTCCCCTCCATCTACCCGGGGGGAGTAAAGGCTCCTCTCATCTTGAGGAGAAACATGCCCCAAAGTGGAATGTGAGGAGGATGCTCTCTTATCAAGGGAGCGATCACCCATCCCATCCATGTGTGGAGGGGTGATAGACTCCCCTCTTATTAAAGCAAAAACACGTTTATTAAAACTGTCAGGATAGCGTGAGAGTCCCATGGTGAAACAAGTTTATCAGGAACCTGGGGCGTTGTGACCTAAGGGCGGGCCAAGCCCCTCTGCCAAAACACTCCCCAAGAGTTTAATTAAACATTCCTTTAACACAACTTGCTCTCACAGTAACCCGACCTTAGATGTCCACATGGAATGTTTTATTTTCAAGCTATAATATGAAAAGCATTTAAAAACATACAAAAGAATATGGCATAAAAGCATATAAAAGCATTAAAAACATATTATATCATTCCACCCTTGCGTTTATGACATGTTCCACTAATTTTAAAACTTATTCCCCTCAAAATCAAAATCTTCAGGATATCAGGAAGGATCAGCTGGTCTCTCAACACAATTGATCAACTTCCCCCGACAGGAGTCAGGGTAAGGAGGACACTCTGAACTCTAGAGGAAAAATTGGATTCATGATGACGACTAGAATCTAATGTTTGGGTTGGTGGAATCTGGTTGTCTACAAATTCGTGTGGAAGTGTTGAAGCTTGACAGTGCTCGGACTGAATGTGGACCTGTGACAGGGATTTGGAGCAGCTGTATCAGGACTGTGATCTCCCTGGCAGCACTCATGAATGGTGGGAATAATCTTGGAGAAAGCTGTGAGCTCGACTTTTGGAGTAAAGGATCAATTAGGCTGTTTTGGAGTTTCCATAAGAGAATATGTACCAGTGAGACTTTAAAGGCAGAAACGACAATTCACGAGTTCTGCCTGACCCAAACTGTGGCCTTGATGCCGGACTTATCTCAACTCCTCCTGGAATGTTTTGAAAACAACAAAGATGCTGTGACTGTTTCCTCACCCCTCCCTTCCCCAAGGCCGTGGACATGTGACAGAACCTCAAATGAGCTGAAGATGAACGTCACGTCTTATCTGGACAATGGCTGGGGGGTGGGGGGGTGGGGGT